CGTTTTCCTTCCTTCATTTTCCATTTTCCTTCAATTCATTCATTCATACTTACATACTGTTTTCCTTCCTTTTTTTCCCAAAGGGAAGCCCTGGAGAAATGGGAGAATCTGGTCCTTCAGGAGAACCAGGTATACCTGTAAGTATCTCCTCAACATTTGTTCAATATTTCTCTCTCGATCTCTAATGAGGCATTTAAGATGCTGTCACATCACCGGTTGCATTTGGATTATCCTGGATTAGTCTCATTGAAAACACAGAATCAGCAATTTTGCATTTGTCTTTCTAGGGAAATCAAGGTATCCCTGGTGAGAGGGGTGAACCTGGCCAAAGAGGACCTCCTGTAAGTTACTACTCTAATCATTCCATTTATAAGACCCAAACCCGCCATTATGGCACTCAAAAAACTGAACCAGAATTCTGGAAGCTCCATCTGTGAGCCTGGTGATCATAACAAATTTAGATTTCTGCTCCGAGATGTTTAGAGCCTGTAACTGTAGACTAAGGAAGATAGCCTTGATAGTGATATGCAAGCTCTGTTGCCAAGACAACAAGGGATGAAAGAATTTTTAAGTACATAACATTCAGATAACATATGGAAGCAATCCTGACACCTCCCAAATTAGGCTGTTGATTTGAGCTCTGAGTTTGGCAATTTGGCTGCAAATGTTTCATCACCATTTGAGGAGACATTGTCTGTGTGTTTTGAGTTGTCAGCTCAACTAAAACGCAGTGACGATGTCTCCTTGAATGGTGACGAAATATTTGCAACCGAATTCCCATGCTCAGAGCTCAAACCAACTGCCTAACTACCAACCTGAGTTACTAATATCCAAACACATTTCAACCTCTAATTCAATGAAATGCAAGGAAAGAAGGTATAAACACAGTCAGATTTGCAGGATTCTGTTATCCTAGATCAGAGGTCTCCAAACTTGGCAACTTTAAGACTTGTGGACTTCAGCTCTCAGAATTCTTATGTTGGTTGGGGAATTCTGGGAGCTGAAGTCCACAAGTCTTAAAGTTGCTGTCAACTGTCCGATTGCAGCAACAGAAATTTCTGGGACGTTTATTTTACCAATAGTATATATAGCTTTACTGATAGATCCATACAGGCACAGAAGAAGCAAAGCTAGCTCTGAAAGTTTTGCATGAAAAACAAGACCGTTATTTTCTCCTTTCCCCCATTTGGGCCACCCATTGTCCACTGTCCACCACAACAACATGTTCTTTTTATTTTATTTTATTTAAGTCAGCATCTTTGGAAGGTTCCCATCCCACGGCCTTGAAGTGTCAGGATTTTCTCAGGCTGTCAACGGCTCACGGAAATTCCTCACCCAGCTCCCAGTTCCCAATACATTCCAAGCATTCCCCTGTCCCTTCCCTTAGTTTCTCCTTGAAACATTGTGAGTAGAAGTGCATTACCAGTCAGCCTTGACAGTTGCCGAGTTTGGAGATCTTTTATTCAAGTCAATATCAATACAATAATTTCAGCCTTCCTCTGGATTTGATTTTGGGCCCAGTCTATCTCGTGGCACTGAAACTAGTCCGGAATTAGATCATCTTCTTTCTGCCCAAGGACTACATTTTTATCAGGGCCGTCGGTGTTTGTCACAGTTTACTGTCTTCCTTCATTGACCCATTCTTTTTTTTTTTTCCCCTGCAGGGACAATCTGGTCTACAAGGACCTCCAGGAGCAGCAGGTGTCAGAGGTTTCCAGGTAAATCAAATTCAGAAGACAATTTTGGGATGGAAAGGGCAACTATTCCCAGGCGAGGCGAGGGGCTACAATTTGTATCTATATCCAGCTTGTAGGAGCACTGCCAAGGATTTTATGATGTCAACAAATTCATTTATTTGATTTGTCAATCGCTTACAAGATAATAGGTATAAGTATAAACATAAGTAAGAATACGGGAAATGGGTACGAATAAATGGGGACAATAGGACAGATGAAGTAGGTGTTTTTTGCCCTCTGCAACTTTAAGATGTGCAGACTTCAATGCCTAGAATTCCCCAGCCCACACGTCTTAAAGTTGCAGAGGGCAAGGAACACCGAAATAGAATACATGTATATCCAATTATCCAGTCTGCTCTTTCCAACACTCTTCTTTCCTGTGTGGCTGAGGAATTCTGGGAGTTGAAGTCTGAACATTCTTAAAATTGCTATGTTTGAAGAAAAACAGGTATAACTGAAAGTAGTGACTCATAGGGATCTGTAATATGGAGGTTTGCCAGGTTGCCAACCATCCATTTTTTAGTTCAAAGCCGGCTGAGATATTTTTTCCTTTTCAGGCTGTTTTAAGCCACCTTCTGAAATGTTGCTGATTTCAAATAACTGGGCAGTTTGATTCCAATATGAGATCAAATCCCTTTCTCCCCCTTTTTTTTCCCCCAGCTTTCTCTCTTATTTCTCTCTTTTCGTTTAACTTTCCAGGGTCGTGCAGGACCAAGTGGGGAACCGGGCCGTCCTGGTGCCACTGGGCTACGGGGTGAATCCGGCCAGCAGGTAAATCCTCTGCAAAAGTGGATGAATGAGCCGAGGAGGCTCTGATGAATGTAACTTGGATGAATGCAATATTCTTCTGGGTAGGGCTGCCATATTGAATGTGCTCCTTCAATCAGTTTGGTCGTGTAAGTCAGGGGTCCCCAGTCCCCTGGGCCATGGCCTGTTCCAAACCAGGCCGCAGGACAGATGGGGTCCTGACCCAGCTCCTCAAACAGGACAAATCCTCTGTAATCAATCAGCGATTCCTTTATTAGAAGCTCCAGCAGCCCCGGCTAAACGTTTCTCTCTCACTGCAGGTTCACAAGTCTGTCCAGCAGGGAGATGAATAGTTGTCTGCCAAACCTATTCATCTCCGCCCCCTGCCTTTTATCCCCAGAGCTATTGTGGGGCTTCGCTAGCAGCGGTGGCTCTTCCATCCCAAGGACCGGCCCATAGATTTCCACTGCTCTCCTCTCCTCTGCCTTCTGTGCCCCCACACGTCAGGCACTGGACCCCACTGTTCCTCCTCTTCCTCATCAGCCATCTCCAGACCTGGGGGCTATTGACTCTCCATCTGAGGGTTGAGGGACACCTCCAGTGGTGGGATTCAAAAATTTTTACTGTGCGCATGGCTTGCTGGGCGTGGCAAGGGAAGGATACTGTAAAATCTCCAGTCAGAGGTGGTATTTGCCGGTTCTCTGGACTACTCAAAATTTCCGCTACCAGTTCTCCAGAACTGGTCAGAACCTGCTGAATACCACCTCTGGACACCACCACTACCCCTCTCCTTCTCCCTCTCCCTCCCTCCCTCCCTCCCTCCCTCTCTCTCTCTCTCTGCCAGCTCTATTCCCTCTTCCTATTCGAAGATCTCAGTTTGCCTTGATGTTCCCACGCCTCCTCCTCTTCCTCCTCTGATTCGGCTGCTGGAGGGGCCGGCGGCCAACACACCACAACAGATGGGAAAGCATCCATGCATGAAGCTATAATCACACAAATGGAGCGGCCCCTGCATGCACAGATGGAGCTGGGCATGCGTGTATGTACACCTGCCACTCACTTATCACCACTGCATCGGGCCAGGCCAGGCCAGGCCACCAAGCTTGGAAAATTTGGGGATCACTGATCTAAGTTATAGAATCAATTTAAAATAATTCCGCTGAGGGAAGAGGGCTGCAAAGCAAGATTTTTTTTTTACTGCATAAATGTTAGTTGTTACTGTTCTTAAATTATCAGTACTAGTATAACAGGGTTGGAAGGGATCTTGAAGGTCTTCTAGCCTAACCCTTTGCTTAAGCAGGAGATCCTACACCATTCAGGACAAAGGGCTGCCCAAGCTCTTTTTAAGAACTTTCCTAAAAAAATAAATACTATTGTTTTCCCTGTGATAGAAAATAAAAATTTCTTTTTTGAAGACCAGTTGTTTCAAAACACCTGTTGGGTGGAAGGCACAGCTTAGCGGCAGCTCCACCCACACTGTGACGTATGGATTCATTGCATGTGATGTCACTTTAGAACAGGGGTCTCCAACCTTGGCAACTTTAAGACTTATGGACTTCAACTCCCAGAGTTCCTCAAGTTGCCAAGGTTGGAGACCCCTGCTTTAGAACATGAAGTGGGCGGAGCCTGCCACCCATAGCTCATGCATTTCTTGCAGTGTTTCTCACCCTTGGTAACTTTCAAGTTATATGGATTTCAATTCCCAGAATTGACCTGGCTGGGGGAATTCTGGGAGTTGAAATCCACACCTAGCTTCAAATTGCCAAGGGTGAGAAACATGATCTATTGCAAATACGGTCTTAAATTTAAGCAATAAATTTAGAAACAATAAACATTTTAAATCACTTTGTGGTGAGAGGAGCAGCAAACAAATTTAATAAATAAAGAAAGAAATTTTTAAAAAAACATTCAGATGTAGACTTACCCAGTCCAAAAGGTACTTACTTATATTATGTTCTTGCAACTTGAGAAACTCGCTGGTCAATTATTTTTGGCAATTCTTTTTCTTGCTTCTTCTTTATTTGTTTCCAGGGTCCTACTGGGGTTTCGGGACCCAAAGGTAACCAGGTAAGATCAAGAACTCAATTTTTCGGATGCATAAATCATATTAAACCATGGTTTGTCTAATCCTAAGCAGAAATCCTAAGCAGAAATCGCAGTGGCTGGACTCATCCAATAAGCTAGCCATACAGATCACATTATGGTTTGATCATGGTGTGAAAAATTAGTTTATGCCCCTAATAGCTCATGCAGAGGTCAGCTGATCCAGGTTTGGACCGGTTCACCCAAACCCTTTGTTCCAATTCTGCACGGTTCGGAGAACCAGCAAATTGGACCACTGGCTGGCCATGCCACGCCTGTTTTTAGGGCCGTATTCAGCCATTTTGGGGGTGAAAAATGGCCTGGAAAAGGCCTCCAAAACAGCCTGAAAACAGCCCGAAAAATGGCCTGAAAACAGCCCAAAAACAGGCCGAAAAACAGCCTGAAAATGGCCCCAAAAATGGCCTGAAAATGATGCAAAAACAGACCCCAAAGTTGGTGGGGGCGGGGCCAGCCAGTGGTGGAATTAGCCCCAACCGCCTGAATCCTACTTGTTTCTTTGAGGGGAGGGGCTGGGAGGCAGCGCTGGGTGTGATGAGTGACGCCACCCACCCAGTCACATGACCAACCGGCCACGCCTATCCACCCAGCGAACCGGTTGTTAAAACATTTGCAGCCCCACCACTGAGCGCATGTGCAATATTACCCAAAGCAATACACGTTCCATCCTTTTGGTAAGTGCATTGTGCAACACTGCACCCGTGCATGAAAAGGGCAGAGCTGATGTTGCAAAAAGAAGAGGCTGCCTTTTGTTCTTTGGTCAAAGCTTCAAATCATGCCTATCTGACCAAGGAGCGAGATGCAATGGGTGAAGTCTGCATTCATTTCCTTTAAACAAGCTACTATTTGGTAGAGTTATTTCAACAGTGAAATAGGTTGAAGGAGCCCTGGTGGTGCAGTGGTTAAACTGCAGTATTGCAGGCAAACTTTGCCCACAGCCTGAAGTTCGATTCTGACGGGACTCAAAGTGGACTCAGCCTTCCATCCCTCCAAGGTCGGTAAAATGAGGAGCCAGATTGTTGCAGGCAGGATGCAAATAACACTTACATGGTAAACCACCTAGAGAGTGCTGCAAAGTGCTATGGGGCAGTATAGAAGCTTAAATTCTATTACTATTATTATTGCTATTGAAAGACGGCATAAAAATTAAAACAAATAATTGGGGTGCAAATATCTTGACCACCACTAGATGGCAGCGTATTAATTAAATTTCTGCCTCTCCATATTTCTTCCACAGCCAAAAGATAGAATCAGAATAGAGCTGGAAGGGACCCTGGAGGTCTTCTAGACCAGTCCCCCGCTCCAGCAGGAGATCCTATACCAGTGGTGGCTAACCTTTTTTTGGCTCCCATGCCTATAATTGCATGCGTGCTCATGCACTGGCGTGCCAGCACCCAGAAAGCAATGCGTCCTGGGCCTCTCCCACACCCTGCACATGCGCGCATGATCCCCCCGCCATGCGCCATGCATCTCTGCGTGTGTGCGTGCGATCACCACCACACGACATCCATATCCCCACGCGTCGTGTATCTCTACGCATGCGTGCGTGTCTCCTGTGCACCCCTGCTCCCCCCTGTGCATGCGTGCCAAATACCTGACAATCAGCTGTTGGGCGGCGGCAGTGCACGTGCATGCGCAGTGAGGCTCTTCCGGGTGAGCTCTCACGTGCCAGCAGAGGTGGCTCAGTGTGCCACTTCGGGCACGCATGCCATAGGTTCACCAACATGGTCCTATACCAGTCCACACAAATGACAATCTAGTCTCTTCTTAAAAACCTACAGTTGATGAAATACCCACAACTTCTGGTGGCAAGCTGTTCCACTGGTTAATTGTCCTTACTTTCAGGAAGTTTCTCCTTAATTCCAGGTTGCTTCTCTCATTGATTAGTTTCCATCCATTGTTTATTTTCCTGCTCTCTGGTGCTTTGGAGAATAATTTGACCCCCTCTTCTTGTGGCAGTCCCTCAAAATACTGGCAGACTGCTATCATGTCACCCCTAGTCCTTTTCTCTAATAATGTGCTGTAATTCTATTTTTAAAATCATAGGTTTTTAACAAAATGTAGAGGTAGTCTTTGACTTACAGCCATTTGTTTAGCGACCGTTCAGAGTTACAACGGCACTGGAAAAAGTCACTGAGGACTGGGGCCTTGCACTTATGACTATTGTTGCATCCCCAAGGTCACGTGGTCAAAATCTGAGTGCTAGGCAACCGACATATGTATTCACAGTCTTTCCAACATCCCTGGGTCATGTGATCGCCATTTGCCACCGTCCTAGCTGGCTTCTGACTGGCAAAATCAATGAGAGATGCCAGATTCGCTGAATGACCTCGTGATTCACTTAATAACTGCAGTGATTCACTTAACGACTACGGCAAAAAAAGGTAGTAAAATTGGATACGAATCACTTAAAAATGGTCTTGCTAAGCAAGGGAAATTCTGATCCCAAGTGGAGTTGTAAGTTGAGGACTACTTGTAGCTACAACTTGAGTAGTTCCTTCTTCAATTAAGTTCGAGGCGGTTTAACATAACAGACGTATTTTGGCATCCTTTTTCCTTAGCACATTTGTTGATCCCATGTTTTTCTTTACTTATTCGCAAACCAGATTTAGAACCACGCGTGGCTGCCTGCTCCATAAATGTGAGAAAGTGTGAATTGTGTAGAACTGTGTAATACAAATTGAGCATATTTTATTCCTGTCCTTGACAGCAATTTTCCACACATTTGAACAAGGAAGCCCTCTTCTGCTTTAAATGAGAAAGGTTACTTCTAACCAAGAGCAGCAAATTTTATTTTATTTATCTATTTTGTCAAACATGTATTAGATAACAAATATAATTAGAACATGATTATTAATACATGAAATGGGTACGATTAAAAGGGAGACATTAGGACAGGGACGGTAGGCAGGCTGCTGCACTTATGCACACCCCTTATAGACCTTTTAGGAATGGGGTGAGTAGACAGTTTGAAGTTTTTGAGGTTTGGGGAAGAAACCACAATGTTCAAGATAGTGCATTCAAGCATTGACCACTCTGTCGCTGAAGTCGTATTTCCTATTGACTGGATGTAACTCATAAAATTATTGACAAGCATCCCATTAAAAATGTTCTTCATTGAAGGTTTAGCTTTGAATTGAAGTCATTTCTTAGAGCTCAAATCTTTGAGTTCAGAGTCCCAAAGGTGATCTTTTTTTTCAAAAGGCAACTGGACTTTGTAGTATTTTTTTTTTCCTTTGAAAACATTTCACTTCTCATCCAAAACTTTCTTGGATGAGAACCGAAGAACCTTCTTGGAAGAGAAGCGAAACATATTCAAGGGGAAAAAAAAATACAAAAAAGCGCCTTTACCATGACCTGAATGAATGAGAATCTCCATAGATATTTGAATTCAGAGCTGCGCTGTGCTGTAAAAGGCTGGATAATTTGATTTAAGACCTGGACAATCCCAATTTGCGCTAATAATTTTGACCTAAAAGAGTTGATCGTGAATATGATTGAGCCAATGTATTGGAGATGCTCTAAAAAGGGGTATCATACTCGACTTCATTGACGGTTAGGGTTGTGTTTGACCTCAGGGCGGCTGCGGGGGGTGCGGCATGACCAGAGTGGGCATGGCCAGCTCAACCTCACTCGTGCCGGGGACACATGTGGTGGCCCAAGCACTCTGCTTGCAAAAAGGCATTCATGACCTCCATTTCCAACTGCGATGGCCTCCTGCAACCCTCTAACAGCAAAAATGGAGCTTGCAAGGGCTGCACCAGGCCGTCCTGACTCCATTTTTGCTGGCAGAGGCACTATGGGCCAGTCCTTCACTGTGGTTTTTTAACATATAAATGTATTCTTTCTATTTTCATCTGCAGGGCATTGCTGGAGCTGATGGACCACCTGGAAGTAAAGGAGAACTGGTATGTAATGAAAATAGATTGGGTGACTTTGGGCCAATCACCAGGAGACAGAGAGTTTATTTTATTTCATTTATTTATTTATTTTTGTCAATTGCTTACAAGATAATAGGTATAAGTAAAAACATAGTTATGAATACATGGATACATATAAGAAAAATAAAAAAATAAACGAAACAATAGGACAGGGACAGGTAGGACATTGCAATGTATGATTTTATATACTATACTTAATATATATATATATATATATATATATATATGGTATTCAGCTTTGTTGTGGTATTTTCCTACATCATTATAGTTGTTGTGGCTCCGGGCTTGGATTCAGCTCCTGTGACTGATATGAGTTCAAGTGAGGAGGTCATGGCAGAAAAATATGAGCCGGCATGGCTCAGTGATTGGACTGGTAACCAGGATGAGGAGATGGACGTGACAAAGGACGACAGACCTGATGTATTAGAATTGTCAGGACCTTTGACCTCCTCTGGTTCCTTATCTGATCAACAGCCGGGAACGGCTGACAGGGAAGTTTTGAGAGAATCTTCTAGTGGAGATGAGAACTTGGAAAATTTGTGGTTAAATGTAAAAAACAGAAGACGGTTGAGAAGGCAAAATCAGCTGGAGCGAATGAGGAGAGCGAGTCAGTAAATTAATACGTTGCCTCAATGAGTATAAAAGGACACAGCTGGGCTGGTGCAATTTGCCAGGAACAAAGTGACTTATTTGAGTGAGGACGTTACAGCAAAAAGCTCTGAGACTAGAGATTTATTGCCAGGACTGGTTTGCCGGACAGAGTAAAGATTTATGCTGTGGATTGAGATTCCTGCCAGCCGTTATCTTCTAAGACTTCTTTCTGTTTGATTTAATTTGAAACAGCTGCTTTCTGTTTTGTTCGTTGGAATTTTGAAGGGGAGTCATAACATATAGTTGTGCTTTTAAAGTTGTAGCAATGTTTCGGCAGAATCTCATCTGCCATCATCAGGCTTCTGTATAGAGTTCATCTGTGAGTCAGGCCTAGTCACTATAGAAAACCCCAGCCACAGAATCATCAGAGAAGCCATAGAGATTGAAAAAAGACCAGAAAGCATAAATAGAAGAGATGATTTCACCAGACTGTCAATTATTTAGAAGCCTGCACTCACAAACAAAAAAAATCTCCACACCACAAGCCAGGCAAACATCTGGGCACAAACAGATCCCCCCTGATACCTCCAGCTCAAACACACCCCAACCAGGCACCCAGATGAAACCTAGCTTCCTAACAAATGATAGCCGTCCATTTACTCAGAGCCAACCTGCACTAAAAGCCTCCAATATAGGAAACACAATGTTGCCAGCCAATCAGGACAAAAAAAGCCACAAAACAGACAGAAGATATTTGAAACACCAATCAAGCAGAACACAGCAAACTCCAAGACCAGTAAATACAGACCAAGACTCCCAACCAATCAGGATGAAGAAAAAACCATTCTGTCACAGCAGTAGGCTAGCACCAAATTTAAAACAGAAACGGCTGTGAAGTCTGACTCACAGATGAACACAGTACAGAAGCCTGATGATGGCAGATGAAGAGAGAGAGAGAGAGAGAGAGAGAGAGAGTTCTAGTCCCACTTTAGGCATGAAAGCAGCTGAGTGACTTTGGGCCAATCACCAGGAGACAGTGAGTTCTAGTCCCACCTTAAGCCTGAAAGACTGACTGAGGAATTCTGGGAGTTGAAGTCCACACATCTTAAAGTTGCCAAGACTGTATTAGAGCTTTGCATGGTGATTCAGTGGTCCTGGGATCTTTTTAATTTTATATTTAACTAACTCCTCAACACATCTGCAAGCCTCTGGAGCAGAGGATCTCAGAACTGAAGATATGTTACAGAATGAATCAGCTTGATGACGGTTACTCTAGGGAAGACTCCAGTTATATTCACCCACAGTGATGGAAATGCACAGTGTATTCCCGACACTCTACAAAGGTTGAAACTTATGGTCCTTCCAGTTCTAGCATTCTTTAATTCTACTTCATCCCCGAGTAAGTTGTTCAGATGATAAATTTGGGCGGGATATTTGTGAGCTGCAATGAAAAGCAATCCAGGTTCTTCAGCTTCATTTGGGTTTCCAAATAACTTTATTTCCATTTTTTTTCTTCTTTTCTAGGGCCCTTTGGGAGCTCCCGGACAGAAAGGGGAAGTGAGTATCTTATACTTTCTAGAGAAAAAAAATAAAATAAAACCCATCACCTCTGGTCTTTTTCATTATATGGATTTGTACTCATCTGTCTGGTGGCTTTTATTTTTTAAAAAAATATGCGAGGTCGCTGTCGGAGGAAGCTATGGAAAGGAAAGTGAATGTCACCCACAGAAGGCTTCCAGATCACTTGCCCGCCATTTCCTATATTTCATTTAAAAGTCCTCACAAGCAGAGAATACAGAAGGCCAACAATATAGCAGCCAGTGCTATTTGCATGTTATGGTAGGCAGAGGAAGACAGGAGGGGCAATTCCAACAAAACATACAGGAGAGAGAGAGAGCACACCTGAAATATTGCATCCAGTTTTGGTCCCACATTACAAAATAGAGGTTGAGACTTTGCAAAATGTGCAAAGAAGAGCAACTAAGATGATTAAAAGCCTGGAGACCAACATATAGGAAGAACGGTTGCAAGAATTGGGTATGGCTAGTCTAGAGAAAAGAAGGACTAGGTGGGGTGACATGAGAACAGTCTTCCAGTATTTGAGGAGCTGCCACAAAGAGGAAGGGAATTTATTCTCCAAAGCACCTGAAGACAAGACAAGAAACAAAGATTGGAAACTAATCAAGGAGGGAAGCAACCTGGAATTAAGGAGAAATTCCTAACAATGAGGACAATTAACCAGTGGAACAGCTTGCCACCAGAAGTTGTAGATGCTTCATCACTGGAGGCTTTTAAGAAAAGATTGGACAGTCACTTGTCTGAAACTGGTATAGGGTCTCCTGCGTGAGCAGGGGGTTGGACTAGAAGACCTCCAAGGTCCCTTCCAGCTCTGTTCTCATTGATTGATTGACCCAGTTTGGTGATATGGATATGGCGCTGTCTAGAAGCCAGAAGACACTGAATTCTAGTCTCGTCTTGGGCATGAAAGCTGACTGGGTAACTTGGGGCCAGTTTTAACCCACCGTCCTTCGCTTAGGCAGTGCCCAGGATGGTTTCCATCGGCCCTATATCCAGATCGTGAATAGAGTTTTGCTCAGCTTTTGCAAGTCAGCTGTTGTCCCTCGTGTGATTTTAAGGCCCAGTTCGGAAGCCGCAGCTTCTCCATTTGGGATGTTCTTCATTCTTCTTTTGCAGGCGGGACAGAGAGGAGAGCCTGGCCCGAAAGGAGTCCTCGGCCCCAATGGAACGGCTGGACCCCCAGGAATTCCAGGCCATCCCGGCAAAATGGGTTTACAAGGAGAGCAAGGAATCCCTGGGATTGCGGGGAAACCAGGCCCCCCGGTAAGAGGTTCTGGACAAACCCTTGTGCAAATGTTTATTGGTCCTCACCTGCCCATCTTTTTTTCTTCCTATTCCAATTCCTGTTCCTATTCCAATTTAAAACTCATTTTCACTGAGCTACTCCTAATACAGATAGCATTATAATGGCCACAATTGAGCCCAAAATTTCTGTTGTTAAGTGAAACATTTGTTAAGTACTAATACCACTCTGTAAAGCCTTAGTAAGACCACACCTAGAGTACTGCATCCAGTTTTGATCACCACACTATAACAAAAGATGTTGAGGCTCTAGAAAAAGTGCAGAGAAGAGCAACCAGGGTGATTAGGGGACTGGAGGCTAAAACATATGAAGAACGGTTACAGGAACTGGGCCTGGCTAGTCTAGGGAAGAGAAGGACCAGGGGAGACAGCAGTCTTCCAATATTTGAGGGGCTGCCACAGGGAGGAAGGGGTCAAGCTATTTTCCAAAGCACCTGAAGGCCAGACAAGGAACAATGGATGGAAACTGAACAAGGAGAGATTCAACCTGGAAATTAGAATTAGAACTAGAATTCTTTTATTGGCCAAGTGTGATTGGAAACACAAGGAATTTGTCTTGGTGCAAACTTTCTGACAGTGAGAACAATCAACCCATGGAACAGCTTACCCTCAGAAGTTGTAGGAACATTGGGACTTTCACTTGAGACTTTCAAGAAGAGATTGGACTGCCATTTGTCAGAAATGGCATAGGGGGTTGGACTAGATGACCTACAAGGTCCCTTCCAACACTGATTATCTGTTATCTGTTAAATGAGTTTAGTTCCATTTTATGACCTTACTTACCACAGATGTGAAGTGGTAAGTCAAAGACTACCTATAAAACATTCAGTCTAGGAATTAATGGAAGATTGTGACTGGTGCAGAGTTACTTAGCGAGCTTCATAGTGAGATATCATGACGTTGGAAGATAAATGACAACTCTGCGATTAAAAGTCACAAAAATCTCTGGTGCATACCAAGTTAGCAGAGGGTACAGTAGATGTTCACAGTGAGACCACAAGTCTTATAAAGGTTTTCAAAATATCATTGCATAATATTAGGGACAGGTGCGTCATGGCTCAGCAGTTAAAGATGCTGAGCTTGCGTGCTGGAAAGCTGAAAGCTGGGGTTCAAGACCCAAGTGCTGCGGGGTAGGGTGAATTCCCGTTACTTGCTCCCTTCTAGCAGTTTGAAAGCATGCAGATGCGAGTAGATAAATATGTACCACTTTGGTGGGAAGGTGCTCCTTGGTGTACAGTCATGCTGATGACATCATCACAGAAGTGTTTTTGAACCATGTTGGCTCCCTTGGCGAGGAGATGATCCCCTGCCTAGAATCGAACATGAGTGGAAATCTTTACCTTTAATTTCAGGGAAAAGAAGCTAGTGAAGAACGCATCCGAGAACTCTGCAATGGAATGATCAGTGGTGAGTATAGCTGCAAATCCTTGGGCAAGGAAATAATATTTATTTTGCTAAATGGATTGTTGGTGACAAGTCCTACAACCCTGAGCAAATTCTTGAAAGAGATGCTTCTTGAAGTCAGATGGACTTCGGAGAGACCTGGGACTCTAGGATCAGCTCCGGAAAGCGTGGAGCAAACCTAATCATAGAGCTGGATGAAATGAAAAGGTTGCTTTAGAGGTCCCCAGACATTACAAAGCATCTTTTTTCAAAAAATTTGCACTACTACAGTAAGAAAAGACTTGCTTTGCTTCATGCAGCCCTTCAAACACAGAGCTGTTGACTTTGGCTGTGGCTTCCTTAAGGCCTCAGAAGGGGATTGATTTTTTTTGATATTTTTGAACTGCATCATTTAGAAAGCAAATGTTGAATTTGGGGGATGCTTTACATTTCTAAATATAGGCCTAACTATTTAAGATTACAGTTTAAAAAAATGAATGAGGCAACCTGTTTAGTTGCATTGATATCAAGTCCTTGTCATTGGCTGTCAAATAGGAAACAGGAATTCAACATTTCTGAGTAAGTATATGGGATACTGGAATAAGAATGGTTTAAAATCCATTCCTTGAGCACTCCAGAGATTTCTTCCCCTCCTTCACTTAACAACCCTGTAGTCCCTTGCAACGAGGTGGAGCAACTGAGTCGAGCGGAGTGTTTACTGGCCAGATGCCCTTTCTGACACCTATGCGGAGTTCACAGCAGATATTTTCTCTTTGTGCCCAGTAATAAAAATATCTACCACTAACTAGGATTAAACTCACAACTTCCTGATTGTGAGATGAGAGCTCCGCCTCTAGGCCACCACATCCCTCCTTGGGTATTCCAGAGCAGTGGTTGCCCGCCAGTGGGCCGGGGACCACTGGTGGTCCACAAGAAAATTTTGGTGGTCTGCAGAGAAATGTCACCCTCAAAGCAATTAATCCAGGCTGCGCAGGAACACAAGGCTTGTGAGAACACAAGGCTTGTGTTACTTGCATGGCAAGTAACATGAGGTAGTAAGGGGAGGGGGGAAAGGGAGGAGGGGAACTTGCCCCACTCAGCCCATGCACCTGGCCTAGCCACTGGGCTGTTTCTTTCTGCTTCTTTCTTCTTCTGCTTTTGGCTGCATGCAAGGAAAGCAGCAAAAGTCTTTCTTTCTCTCTCCCAAACTCCACCAGAAATGAGTCTTTGGGACCCTGCAAGTCCTCCTGCTCCAAGAGGCTGCACCAGCGCAACAAGTCTCACAAAGATTCATTTCTGGCAGAGTTTGGGGGAGAAAAAGAAAGACTTCTGCTACTTCTGCTGCTTCTCTCTCTCTCTCTCTCTCTGTTGAGACCCACTGCTCTAGAGATAGTGTTTTATCTTTTTGGGAGGAATGAGAACTAAGACTATTTCCAGCTAAGCTATATCTGGGATGAGTGTCCCAGCTAGCTCTGTGTATGCATCTCTAATCATTCAATCTATCATCTATCTATATCTATCTATCTATCTATCTATCTATCTATCTATCTATCTATCTATCTATCTATCTATCTATTTATCTTCTATCATCTTTCTCTATCTAATTTTTCTGTGTTTTTTTTTTTTTTGCATTTTTTTAAAGAGCCTAAAGCCCGCAACAATTTTGGAGCAGTTGGCTTATATTCAATCTTTAAAAGGAGCTAAAACCAGTTTTTATCCAAAATGGTTTGGGATGCTTTATTTTATAGCAAGATGTTTGCAAGCTTCTCTGGGAATGCTTTGAATTCTTCCACTGCATCCACTGACAAGTCAAAATCCACCCTTCTTTGTTTTTTGTTTTTTTTTAATTCCAGAGCACGTTGCTCAGTTAGCTGCTAATTTAAGGAAACCCTTGGCTCCTGGACTCATGGGGAAACCTGGGCCCGTTGGACCTCCGGGGCCTGCTGGGACAATGGGGAGCATTGGACTTCCTGGGGCACGTGGCCCACCTGGATACAGGGGACCCCCAGGGCATTTGGGAATTCCTGGTCCCAGAGGTGAGTAAAGTCCCAAAGAGATTACAGGTAGTCCTCAATTTACAATCATTTATTTAGTGACCGTTTGAAGTTACAATGGCACTGAATAAAAAGACTTATGGCCATTTTTCACACTTTATGACCATTGCAGCATCCCCATGGTCACCTGAACAAAATGGCATGTATTCATGTTGTCAGGATTCCAGCAATCGCCCTAATTAAATCATGATTCTCGAGCCAGCCTTCAAAAAACTTCAAAGGATTCATTAGAGACGACATACTGGCACTGCCCTGTATGAAGCCAACTCTCGCATATGTAATTTACAGTCATCTGTGACCCTATTTCCCCCCTTCCCCCTGGGTGTCTCATTGTGATGACCTGGAGTGTAACACAAATGTAACAAAATCCAAAACATAAGTAAATGTCCTTTAATGCCTCCAACTTGGCCCAATGTTCAATAATTCTCAGTTGGAGATAAAACTTATTCAAAAATAGTCTTCAAAAGAAAGCAATACATTCTGAACTTAATGAGCAGATAGAGGTGAAATAAAAAACCAAAACAAACTACAATGAAGGAAATTCCACAACGGACCAGGATAAGGAATTACCAACTTCAAGGAGATAACAAGGCACAGTCTGTTGGAAGGACGCCAACCAAGATAACTTCAGCCCAAAATAAAACACGCTTTGCTTCTGGCAATGCTGTATTTTAACTGTCTCTCTTATATACTATTCTTCCCAGCTGCAAACATTGAGGGGGATCATGGCCACTTCCTCTCTCATAAGCCAAGTTGTTGCCTTCTCCATTCCTCCCTAAGTGTCCTAGGATGAAGAGGGAATGGGCCTGGTTCTTCCTCTGACTGCCCAGCCGCCCTCTGCCCTTCCCCAGCCTCCTCCACAACCTCCGGAACCACACTTCCACTCCCTGTTAGCGGTTCCTCCTTTCCGTCAGAGTCTGACTCTAACAAGGGCATGGCACTCATAAACCAGATTCTCCAATTGAGCGCGTTCACGGGCTGGCTGTCATCATTCACGTTCTCCAATGAAATATATTTGCGGGCAAAAGCTCTGGTATCTTAGTTACAATCTTTTAAAGAGAAGAGTTGGAATGTACTTTCGCTTCCAAACTGCTGCACTTCCCTTTCAGATTTCCCTCCTCCCATCTCCTTTTTTTATGGCAACTACTAAAACAGGCATAGGAATGTTTTATGAGTTGACATATGTATTCATAGGCCTTGTCTGTGGAGATTCAGTCATCCAGGTCATGGTTGTTCCAAAGGTGCTTTTTTCAAGAGGCAACTGAACTTTCTGCTTTTTCTTTGAAGACGTTTCGCTTCCCAGCAAAAGAAGAAGCTTCTTGGATGAGAAGCGAAACATTTTCAAAGAAAAACCAGAAAGTCCAGGTGCCTCTTGAAAAAAAAAAAACACATCTTTGGGACTTTTGCCACCTTCTAAACAAGAACAGCCAATCGGGAAGCCTGTTTCCCGTAACAAGCCACGTTGCTAACTTAACAGCCGCAGTGATTCGCTTGACAACTCTGGCAAGAAAGCTTGTAAAGTGGGGCA